CTTCCATCGATGCTAATGTTTTGATGTGAATATTCATATAAACTCTCATGACGTACACAAACATGAAATAAATAAAAAAATATTAGGATAACTTAAAGGCTACTTAAATTTAAAAAAAAATATTTCACATATATATCTACGTATTTGTCAGTTTTAAACTAGTTAATTGAATCCTTTATTGACCACATCACTCTTTAGAATGTAAATTTTAAGGGCAGCTAATTCCTAAACTGGCCGCCAGAGATATACCCCAATGCCATCTGGTGGTAAACCCCTGAACTATTGCAGGCCCAATGTAAACAAAGCAATATTTTGCATTGCGAGAGCTCTGTTTTATACAAGTTATACAATTTAAACAAACTTCTGCTATCGTATATATAAATTTTAAAAGCTACTTAACTTTTTACTACTATATTTATTAAACTCATAAGAAGTTTTTTTTACTAAAATACATAAAATGTAAATAATTGCATTTGCCTCTCGCAGGGATGTAAGTGAATTAATACATCCATATGAGAGTATGGATTACATTGCTGTGTCCATTCCATTGATGTGATCGTGGTATCATATCTCCATTCTCTGATTCTCTGACAAGCTGTGACTTGACTCTTTCGGGTCGAGGAGCGGCTTAAAAATTCATAATGATAATGATAATTTAGAGAAAATAACATAATATACCGTACGTGTATACTGTCTCCTCCAGTCTCTAGTCCAATCCCACTCCTGCGTTAAATCTGAGACAAATCGTCTTTTATTTTAATTTCTGACGTTTATTTCAGCATTTAAATTTAGTAATCTTTTTCAACAATATTTCCTTTAGAAGTCACAGTTTACATTTATAAAGCATAATTTTCCCAACTCGTAACATATTACAACTGAAGGTAATTTGAAAGATTCGGAAGTAAACATATCACACACATTAGTCGACCTCTTATGTCTCAATGAGATATCCTTTAACAATAACTTAGAACTACAACAATTATTTTTATAATGCAAACGTTTAACCGGAAATTTTCTCTCAATAAAAAAATAGATAATATTTAACATGAAATCTGATGACAATACGACGTGGTAAAGTAATCCAAATTTCAAAATCTAGAGAGATTTGAGTTTACAAATTGGATAACAAAATATTTGATTTAATTTAATCAACATAATCATTATGGAGGGACTTAAGTATCCAATATCTAGGAATAATTTATCGTCTAATATATCTATCCTTGTTTTGTTTTCTTTCTAGATACTGTAGATGTTTGGATCTAGTGTAGGGTGATGCCCAACACATAGTATTACGACCTTATTGATATTACTAATCAAATAGATTACGTTATTATTACGCATCAAATTTACCAAATTGATATCTTTGTCGTCCAGCTTCAAAGTCTCAAAATAATGTATTGCTTCCTAACGTTTTACTTCCTTTTGTAGATGTTGTGTGCTAAGTGTTTTTTTTTTTAACTACAAATTACTGTACACATTTCAAGCGATTTACATTGCTTTAGATTTAGTTCTATTAACATTAATTGAACATTCTATATGTAGGCTATTGCTCTTATATTAACACTCCATAGACGTGTACTTACTCAGTACAACCATAGTACAACGTAGCCGTTCCGTTTAATTTGACGTGTCGTTACAATCTGTTACTTTTGAGCCTTGAGAGGTTAAGTGTCGGCGTTTTTTGGATTCCATGTCTTCCGGGTTGAAGTATCTTCTTAGGAGATGACAGATCCACTTGTTTATACCAAGAAGTTACCTAATATAAAGTATATTTACTAAACTAGATTTCGGTTAAATTGCTGCGTGCATTGATTGAATTAATATAAATGTAATTTTCAATATCCATGGTAACAAAAATAAATCTTTTGTATGAGAAACTATGACGAAAGCGATAAACAAAGATAATATTTAAGTTTATGAATCAGTAATTCATAAACTTAAATATTATCTTACTAGCTGTACCCGCGGGCTTTGCCCCGTTTTACTTCATGAGTGAGCTCGTTCGCATGGCTCAATCACGTCCTTTTTGAAGTTCGTTCGCTACGCTCACTCACCTTTAGGTTGCAGCTCGTTCGCTGCGCTCACTTGCCTTCAAGTTAGCTCGTTTGCTAAGCTAACTCGCATCCAGGTTGAAGTTCGTTCGCTACGCTCACTCACCTTTTGGTTGCAAATTAGCTGTTGTCATAAGTTAAAAAAAAAAAAATAGTGCTGCACCCTGTTGGTAATCCTTGTAACTTTAATGCTATTGCACATCATAGAACAGAACCAACTTGTTTAACTGAATTGAAACAGCTGTTAAGATTCATTAATTCCATTTAAATATGAGTACTCATAAGGTTAACATGGGAAACTCCAGAGCCACTGGGGCGGAGCCCGAGAGTCCGATCAGAATAAAAACAACTTAGTTTTCCTATTTAATGCCTAAAGAATCAGTGTACCAAATTTTAGCCTCCTAGGTAAATGGGAAGTGGGATAATTAGTGATGAGTGAGTGAGTGAGTGAGTGAGTCAGTCAGTCAGTCAGTGAGGGCTTTGCCTTTTATATATATAGATTATCAAACGGTGGGGGGGGGTCCGGAGGTCCTCCCCTGGAAAATTTAGCAGTTTTGAAACAAAAAAGAGGGTTTAAGCTTATTTTAATTGTCAAAAGCACTTCGAATAAGAACAAAATTATGAGTAAAATTTATTCAAATTTAGGCAGAAAATTAATGAAACGAACCGTTATTGACAGCAGACAGAAACATAATAATATGTTGGTAAGTTAGTCATCTAAAAAACGTGATCAATACTTCCATGGTGTATTAACATTATGTTTGTTATTATATTCATGACCAATTTCTCCTGTTATTCTTGGTTTCTTGGCTACTCATCACTAAAATAAATTAATCACAATTTACTAACAAAATATGGAATAGTTATGTTGTAACCAGAGGCTGAAGATGGGTTTTGATGAAAACTCTAAATATGCCTCCACATTTTTTTAGTAAATTGTGATTAATTCATTTTAGTGATGAGTAGCCAACAAACCAAAAAAACATACTGGAATGAATCAATTTCTCCTGTACAACATTTAGTCCTATAGCAATGAATACGGTTGTGTTCATAGCCTATACTTTATAACAGTTTATTTTGGTTTTTAAATAAAACGCAAGTATACTTAAACGCAAATCAAATTTTATTATCAATAAAATAATTTGACACAAAAGTAGATTTGACAGGAGAAAATCTTCGTATATTAGCTAGTACAGCATTTTTTCTCTAGCCCAGCAACCAGGGGGGGCAAATGCCCCCCTGCCCCCCCCCAAATGACGCCCCCTGGACATTTTTATTACTTGGTGTTTACTTAATCATACCGTCGACGATCACACATCACATATCACACGTCGGTCACATTTAACATACATGTTTTATTATCCTGGGAAAAAATCGAGTAATTTAGTCAATGATAAACACCACGCCATTGATATGGGAATTTACTTTGATTACGAAAAAAAGGCTCGATTCAGAGCACACTGCAAACCTTTATTCATTAGAAAGAAAGATCCTGACTGTGATAAACCTGTATTATTTTTGTGTTTGTTGTATGTAAAAAAATAATTTAAATGTAGGCTTATGTACACAGATCAGACATTCAGCAATGTAAAACCAGAAACCAGTCCATGTTAGATATACCATACACAGTGGGCTAAGTAAGTGTAAAAACAGTTTTGCGATTATTTAAAAAGTTTAATAGGTTGCACACTGAAAGTAAATCTTTAGAATTTAAGTTATTCAAACTTAGACTGTATGACTGACTGGCTAAGCCTAAATACTTTCTATGACTTGTCAGAATATTTTTCTATTAAGTCTGTACACTTTTGATGTTCTGATTGACAAATAGTATTGTGTTTTTAACTTTGTATTGATCATTTGTAGCGATCATATTGATCATTGACGTTGTCCATTACATTGTACAGGGTGAATAAAAAGTCAAGACCCCCCCCATCTAATATTTTTCCGAGTAAATATGCAGAGATATCCTTTTGGTGGTCGAGCAATCTTAGCAGGAAGTTTCATTTTATCATTTTGAAACTTTTGAGTGTCCCCCCAAAAGGGGGGATTTGGGGGGCAACTCAAATATTTTAAATGCAAACCCCCTTAAAATGACACCTCATTTTGAAGTGTTTACAAAAACTTAAAGAATGATGAAAACTAGAGGTCGCTATCTCTTCTCTATCCAAAATGGTAGCCCGTCAAATGTTGTGGAAAATCAACGGTAAAATTGTTAATATTGGCTGCCATTTTGGATAGAGATGAGATAGCGAGCTCTGGTTTTCACAATTCTTTAAGTTTTTGTAAACACTTCAAAATGAGGTGTCACTTGAAGGGGGTTTACATTTAAAATATTTGAGTTGCCCCCCAAATCCCCCCTTTTGGGGGGACACTCAAAAATTTCAAAATGATAAAATGAAACTTTCTGCTAAGATTGCTCGACCACCAAAAGGATATCTCTGTATATTTACTTGGAAAAATATTAGATGGGGGGGTCTTGACTTTTTATTCACTCTGTATATATGTTTAAAGACAGTAAAGATTCTGATTCTGATTCATGAGTACTACCATATGTTTTATCTATGGTACTACCATACTACGGTAATATAGCTTATTCCCTATATGGGAAATTCGCTAAAAACAAACTACCTAAGTTACCTAGGATGGTTTTATGTACCTAAAGATTTGTTTTCCTTATGGACCAGTTGAAGCAGAGACCAACCAACAACCAACACAAGGTAAGTATGTTTTATCTTTATCCATTAGTTAGTCTTAGTCTAATAATGGTCGTCTATGGTAAGATTGAATCGGACATCAAAGTTCTGAAAAAATGCATCCAAAGTCAATAGATCCTATAATCAATCATAGTTTAATGCCTTCCCGGTTCCCGCCTTACTCTATGGATTTTACACGTACCCGTGCGTCAGCAGCATGTTGATGTTTTTGTTGATCTTGAAAATTGAATTCGATTTGATGAAAGGACGACTTAACCTATAAATAAATCTGAGCATTTATTTAGGTTAGCTTTCGCCCAGGAATTTTAGACAAAATAATGCCCTAAAATAGAACAAATTAATAACTAGCTGATTTTTGGTGTGGTGTTAGTATGTCATTAGGTAAGTATTTTCTGAAAGTTCCCCTCACTTCCTCCGCTTGCTTCACCCAGTAAAGGGCTAGAAAGGGTCTAAGTGATGTAAAAATACATAAATACTTATTGAGTGACACCAGTGTCACCGATTTTAGTGGTTTTAGTCTTAAATCATTCAGAATGAAAGTAGTCATGCTAAATAATCATCACAACAATACTTCATAGCACTTTAGGGCGTTTTATTTTATATATTTAAATTTTTATAGTAAATTTTAGGTTATTTAAAGCGTTTTTGCTGAGAATTTCAGTTTTTGACAGCTACTACCCCCAACTTATTATTTGTTATTTTTGTCCAAAAATATATCCAAGAAAATTTTAAAATCAATGAAACAATTATATAAATCATTCGTGATTTTGGATTGGCAAAGTTAGACCGAAATATAGATATAAAGTTAAGAGCACCGAACCGCAGCGTATGAATCCTTCGCACATTTTTTACCATTTAATTTCTCATTTATTAACTCAAAATGGTCTAATTAATAAATAAACTCACATAAAGAATGCTAGTAAATAATAATATTAAAACCCCTCATATCCATGGATACGAAAAAATAAATCATAAAAACTACAGGGTGTTGAGAAATTTAAGTTTGGATATTTTAGGTTGGCAGCTCTGAAAAAAAAAATGTTTGCCCAACAATGCTTTCACACCTGTTATAATGTACGTACACAGCTTTATACGTATAATACCCCGGCCGAAGCAAACCTGCAGACTAAGCAAATTTCCATTTGCCTGATTTGGATTTACACTAAAATGTGTCCTTAAAAATATCACAATTATTCCTTATTTAAATTAAATGGTACTTAGGTTTGCTGCATCAGGGAGGGTAAAAAGGTGTTTTTTTGTAAAAAGTTAATAGTTTAGTATGAAATGAATCCATTTTCTAAATTTGATCAAATATATTCATAAACAAGCAAACTAACACAGTTTACTTATTCTCCATAAGAATAACATGGGAATTTTAAATTTATAGTTTTTTAGAATTTTCTCCGTAACCATTAGGCGCATAATAACGCTTCAATATACTAAATTATTTGTTATTTTAAGCTCTACAAAATGTTTTAGAAAGAAAAATGCTAAATTTTAAGTTTTTAGGGTCAAAATGGGAAAACCGAGTTGCTTACCATGAGTACTACGGTAATAGCTTATTCCCTATAGGGGAAATTCGCTAAAAACGTAATTATGTTTGAAGTTGTTTTAGAAGACTCGTGGTAGAATTGTTCATTTACAATATGTGATGTGAATAAGTAATAGAACAATTTTGTTTTATATAGGTGTTGTGATTGTTGACAAGTGGAAAATGGCGTAAATCATCACTTAAGTCTATTTTTTCACACAAACTTCATAATAAATGGACTTGAATTAAAATACAGTTTTGAAGCTACGCATTTTTCGCTTGGTGTCATGGAAAGCTGGAGTGTGGAGAGAGCCTTCCTGAAGCAGGGAACCTGACAAAATGTCGTCACCCAAGGTATTTCTGCTATTTTACATGCCAGTGAAGAGCGTGGGGACAACGTTCGACATATTTAGGAAGGTAAAACATCCTTAAAGGTCCATGAAAAGTGTCAAACTTAGTATACACGACCATCGTCCATTGCTGCAGCTAATTGCGTCACAGCGTCAGTCATCTGATTCGTCCTGTTTGGACCTAGAGGAGGGCCCTAGTCGTCTCTCTCTCTCTCTCGTTCAAGCATTGATTCGGTGTTTGACATTAAAGTTCACTGTTTGTTTTGTGGCAAATATGCCTTGAACTGTGCCAATACAAAACTCCCACAAAAATATAGAAAGGTTTTACCCTACCAATATTTAACTCCGTCTTACCCCGAATAGCCGGTGTTGGAGACTTAGTAGCCGCCCAAGCAAAGTATTGCCGTGACTGTTATTCAACATTTTTTTGAAACCCATCAGAAAAAGGTGTAGGTAGACTGAAAAACGTCACTACAAGAGATGCATTTTTAAAATTATGTGGTTACATTGAAAATAACGACGAATCCCAGTTTAGCGTCACTGATGAGCTACCTAGAAAAAATGGAAGAATTTTTACCAGGAAAGGAAATTTACAGTTCATAATACTTAGTTAGGAAGCTGTCCGAGCATTTTGGAGAGAAAATTACATTTTCGGTAACAGTTGTAACGTTGAGTGATACTTCTCACAAATTATTACGGGCGTCATGGAACGCTGATAGAATGACGGATTTGGATACCAAAAATAGAAGAAAATAGTTGAAGAGTCTGCCCAGATTATTAGGGAAGAGATGAGGCATCTAAACTCAACTTGTTCTGCAATGGGTAGCCGCTGTTTTGGAGGCTGCGCCAATGGACCTCCCACATCTCTGTAGGATGATGAAGATGTTGATGCGGGATTGTAGTTACAAGAAATATTGAATGTAGGTAAAGAATATGCTTTATTTTGGACGGATTGAAATCCACCCCAAGAAACTGATCCGTACTTTTCTGAAATGTGCAGGAAAAATTATTAACTTATCTTAGCTATTTTTTTTATTTGTTGATATGTGAGTATTAGTTGTATATAAGATAAAAAAAAAGGTAAAGAAATTCCAATATAACATATCTTACAAATGATGCAAGAGTTTTATTTATTTTTGTATATATTTTTTTTTTACAAAAAATAAAATATAGGTATCAAATAAAAGGCCTTAAAGTGCTACGAATTATTGTTGCGGCAATTCTTTAGCATGACCACTTTCATTCTGGATGATTCAAGACTAAAACCACTAAAATCGGTGACACTGGTGTCACTCAATAAATATTTTTGTATTTTTACGTCACTTAGACCCTTTCTAGCCCTTTACTGGGTGAAGCAAGCGGAGGAAGTGAGGGGAATTTTCAGAAAATACTTACCTAATGACATACTAACACCACACCAAAAATCAGCTAGTTATTAATTTGTTCTATTTTTTTACCTAAAGTGCCTGGGCTATAGCTTTACTTCTCTGTGGTTAACAGAACTATATAATTGATTTGTGTTTAGAAGTTAATAATATCATGGACATTGAAAATATTAAAAGAAGAACTGACAAAGCTGTGAGTTGAGTTTCCATCCGAATAATGCTAGGCCAACTAATAACTTAGTTAATGTACATATAGGCTAAGCTAATTTGAATTGCTAGAATAAATCCAAGCTTTAGTTTCATTCTTTCATAAAATGCCTAAAGTGTTCACATTTTTGTACAATGATTAGCCTAGTCATCAAAGTGATCTTGTCCCCAGCCAGGACACAGTTGAGTTAACTTACCTAGGCCTACTAGGCTATTGTAGGTTTATTTATTTATTTTTAGAGGCATATTATTTAAAATGGATTTATTTAAATATAACAAATTATATTTATTTTTTTAGATAGGCTTAGGCCTAAGTTACCTCAGATGAATTATTCAAATCCTGTCTTTGGTCAGGTAAAGTGTTAACTTCAAGAGGTATTGATCTGTTAATGGCAGCTAATTTATTTTAAAAAAAAAGCATTATCTTAAGCCATGTTTACAGGAGGCTAGTCGGCGGGCAGATTATTATTTTTTTTTTTTGCTCTAATCAACGCCAATGGCATTTTTTTTAATGAAGTCAAACACTTTTAAGGGAAAGCAGCCCAAACCCATTAAAGTTTTGTGGATGTGCCGGGGATTGAACCCGTCCCTCCCGCACCAAAGTCCGAGACGCTAACCACTAGGCTAGCAACACACCCAATTAGGCTAGCAATTTTCCCCCAGGTAGCCTAACTTAAAGTAGGCTACATTAGAGCATATTAGAGGCAAGTAACCTGCCCTGCATTCAAATAAAATGATTCAAATGATTCAAATGATTTATTAGGCCATTCAGTGCATACAGGACAATAGGCTACGTCAACAATACAATAAATAATAAATAACATGCCAAGCTTCTTCTAGCATTCTTGACTAACAAAATTAAATTAAAAGCTGAAAAAAACATGCAGGATCTCAATCAATACAAAACATGCAAAGCGCATTCTATATTGGCCTTGTGTGAACGAGGTTTTAGTTTAAGAACAGTGTTAGGCCTACCTCAGCAACTTCTGTTGTTTGATTCTTGATTGAAAATACCTGCCTTTGATTAACCGTTATTTGTTATACTTAAGCCTAAACTTAGTCATATCACAGATAATATACGTATGTTTATATTATAGGCCTACTGTATGAGCTTAAGTTTACGTTATTATTATAAGCTGTCTGTTTTATTGATCCAATTTTATAAATATTAATAAGAACATTTGCTTGTTCTAAACCTTAAATTTGTTGTTACATTTTAACTATAACTTTATTTTCTCTCTAACACCCCTGCAAACAATTCAAGAATACCGGTATGAAAACCATTCAAATTGAAAGAGTTTGGGCCGCTTTCTCTGAAAGAATAGCTCTGTTCATAACTACTTTACTAGGCAAAACAATTATTTAAGAACTGACCAATGTAACTATCAAAGGACAATTAATTCAACTTTTGAGCTGGGTAAAAGAATGTACAATAAATTAACGAACCATGTAAAGCAGCTAGATTTAATTAGATATAAGTCTTATTTGAAGCGACTCCTCCTAGAATTAAGTGTATATAGTGTTGAAGAATTTGTTAAATATTTAGATGTTTATTTGTGTCATAGTTAGTTGTATTGTTTCTTTTTAGAAATGTAATGACGATGCACCAGTTTGATGTTACCTGCTGTAACCCATAAATGTTATGTGCAAATAAATACTTTGACTTTGACTTTTGTTTGTGTGGATCGTTATAAATACTTTTAACTGGTAACTTAAACTAATAAAATAAAAAAAAGGTTTTTAGATTATTGTTGGAAACAGTGGTGTATCTAGATCTCTGAACCGTTTGAAATAGAAGAGAAAACGGTAACTTTACTTAACTCGAATAAGTCCTGCACAAAACCCCTGTTTAAATTAATCCCAATTACTTTCTGATTCTGAGGGATAAGTTTTAAAAGAACAAGGACAATCATCTTTGGAATGAATTCTGTTTCAGTAAGGCATAATTTTTACACTATTCTGACTTGACTAGTTAGTCTGGACAAAGTCTGTCTAGAATAAGGTTAAAAGAAGTCTACAAAGGACAGGCTTTCAAACAGGGTTGTTAAAAAAATTAGATTAGTAGGCCTACCTCCAAAGAAATTTCATGACATTGATTTAGATTTTATTTTGTAGGAAGATGAAGTAAAATTGCTTACAGAGCTATTCAACAAATTGAAGTCTTCAGTTTCGAACGGCAATGGAGCAGAAGTGTGTATGGAAAATGCATCTGATGAATTTACGGATCTTATCACCTTGAATACAAAGTTGAAACATCGTCTGGCTATTCTGAAAAGGGTAAGAATATTTTGTATAGGTAATATTCTCTTAAGATTATTTTTATAGGTAGCAGAGTGGAAATAAACAAACAACATTTTCCAATCCATAAATTAGAAATGGCAGGCCCTCAACATTTATAAAAACCTCCATTTATTTATGAAACCTCAATATTAACCATATCCAACCTAGGGAGGTTTATTTTAAATACGGTAGTTAAACTATTTATGATTTGAATGTTTTCCTTTTTGATTTAACAGAAGAGCACCTGGAGGTTATTTGCAGCTAATGTAAAAAAACAAATAAAATACCCTCGCCGCAGCAAACCTGCAGACTAAGTGAATTTCCATTTACGTGGTTTGATTTTCACTCAAATTTACTGTTAAAATCATGAGATTTATTTTTTTAAAACATTAATTTTAATGAATACTGCAGTGTTCTTAGGTTTTCTGCTACAGGGAAGGTAATAATGTAGGTATTTTATTGTTATGCCAATATTGTTGTATAAAACAAAGGCATTTGCCAAATTTAATCAAAATATTTGCATTAGCCTACTGTACAAGCAAACTTAATAGTATTACAGTTTATTAGTTTTCCATAAAAAAATGGAAATTTCAAAATAGTTTGTTGGACTTTTCTTCATAACCACTAGCTGTACAACAACGTTCCCGCATACTAAATTATTTGTTTTTTAAGCTCTACAAAATATTTTTGAAGAGAAACTGCAAAGGTTTATGTTTTGGGAGTCAACACAAGAAAAAACAAATGTTGTCTTAGTAAAACCTTGTTTCCATAGTCGGATATAATCCTATCTATATAAATAAAATTAGAGTTTTGTCTGTACATTGCTTAGAATAATGAACTTTTTGGTTATTTTTACATTTCATAGGTCAGAGAAACCGAATCAAACCTTATCTCAATTTCTGTCTGTCTGTCTGTCTGTCTGTCTGTCTGTCTATCTGTCATTCTCTTGGTAACGCTAAAATACGCACTTTATTACAACTACTCCTCAATAACTATAGCACTGTCCCGCCTGAAACTTATTTTCCAAATACTATACATATATGAGATGGTTTTAGACGTATTTCATCGAATATGAGACAGTTAGATATTTAACAGTAAACCCTTGAAAATCAAGTTTTTGTCGATTTTTGACGTGGAATTTCTGGAAGCCCATGTTAACCTTATGAGAAATGAAATTATTGAATCTTAACAGCTGTTTCAATTAAACAAGTTGGTTCTGTTCTGTGATGTTCAATAGCATTAAAGTTACAAGGATTACCAACAGGGTGCAGCACTAGCACTATTATTTCTTTTACATTTATGACAACAGCTAATTTGCAACCTGGAGGCGAGTGAGCGTAGCGAACGAGCTAACCTGAAGGCAAGTGAGCGTAGCGAACGAGCTAACCTGAAGGAAAGTGAGCGCAGCGAACGAGCTCCAACATACAGGTGAGTGAGCGTAGCGAACGAACTTCAACCAGGACGTGATTGAGCCATGCAAACGAGATCAGATAGTAAAAATAAAAGTAAGCCTACCGTTATAGGATCGACCGGCAGACACAGAGGTAATTTAACCTTTTATTGATTGTCATACCGATCCGGAACAACAAAAAACAACATAAAATGAAGCTATGTATAATAGTTTGGCCAGCATATCTTAAAATATGCAAACCAACTGCTGTTCTTTATATAAGAAGGTTTCAACTGAATATTATAAGATCCCCGTGCGTAGAACGGGTACACAGCTAGTTTTAAGCTAAAAACCTACTTAAATATAGGAAGTAACAAAATTGAACAGTACACAAAATGTAAAAAAATTATGATAAAACTCTGAGCTGATAAATAAATCAAATTTATTTAAATTCCATACATAATATTCCTAAAACATTTTAGAAGTGAATAGCAACATAACCTAACTTCTATATTGTAAACATTGTATGTCTATGAAACTAATGAGAGGAAATATTAAAGACCAATAAAATGTTGTTCACTCTAATAATAACACGGCTTATAATCAGTTGTTCATTAAGTTTTCATCAGATTGTCCGACAGTTATTGACGGCACTTCTTACAGTGATATGACAATTGGTTGTTTTTTGTGTTTTGTTTTATTGGTGCATTTTTGTGTAACCAAACAAAGTGGATCTGAAGAGGTTGAACAAAAAACACCTGGATTTACGGATCACAAAAAATCTAGAACAATATTATCTCCAGGTCCTATATGCGACTTTATAAAGTATTATAAGGTACCTTGTCAAGGCAAGCAATTTCTTATGAAATATAAATAATAATTTTAAACACTAGCATAGGCTGGTAAAATGTGAATTTTATTTATTTAGGTTTATATTTATTATTTACATACATTTTGTTTTTGATCCAATATCTTGTGAAGAAACCTTATGTTTTTACTTTCTCTCCCTATACCATATATGGAGAAAGTATTGTTTTCGTCAAAATTTTCGAGTTTGAGTTTTGAGTGGATATATCCGTTTTGGGTTCTCCTGGACCCAAAAGAGTGGTTTTCAAAGTGATGTCCTTATGTGTGGATATGTAGGCCTACAGAGCTACAGACTACACCTTTGGTTTGGATTATTTTTATGATTGATATAATTTTTGTTTGAGAATCACACTGAAAAACCTTATAGCTGAAGACTTTAGTTGTTTCCAGTTACATTGTTTAAACAAAGTGTAATAAAACGCATAGAGGGTAGAGGCGTAGTTCAAGTTCAATTGTTATGTCTGGTTTTTAAGTACCTTTTTAAGAAACCTTATAGGAAGAATATAGGCTTGTAAGTCGAAAAAATAATTTTGACTGTTAACCTTTACGAAAGTATTTTATTTCTTGACCTACAATTAATTTTTAGGCACTTCTAGAAGAGAAGGAGAAGAGTGCTGGGGATACGATGGAGAATATCCTGGACTCGCTGTCTCAACTGTTTATCAGTGCGGTGGCGAGGGCCTACCCCGACATACCAGACCCTCCCGTGCCTCTCACAACGTCCAGCGCGCCACAGTTCGGGGACTACCAGTGTAACGCGGCAATGCCGATAACTCAGCTGCTTAAGGCTCAAGGTACAATAAACACTAGACAATAGACCGTAGACATTTGACTCTAGACAATAGACCGTAGACATTAGAAAATCAATTAGGACAATCGACGCTAGACATTTAATACAAAAGACAATAAAGACAATAGACACTAGATAATAGACACTAGACAATAGACGCTAGCAAATAAAGACAATACACTTTGGACAGTAAGGACAATAAACCCTCCATAATAAAGACTATAGACACTAGACAATAAAAACAATAGACAATAGACATTGCTCTTATCTAATACTCTTTAAGAGCAATACTACAAAGTTTGTGTTAAAATTGATTAGTAGAGTCGGTCGATAAAAAGCCAGTGATGTCCGTGAAGGTCATTGATGTATTGAGAGTCTTGTTGAGTTTCTTTTTATTGCGGTCTGGCTGATTTGGAAGGGTTTTTGTAAGATAGCTTAACTTTTCATTCAGGATGAGATGATGTGGTGGAAGCTCAAAGTTTGTAGATGTTTTACTCCGTTAGAGTTGGGTTTGGGTGGGTATTTCTATTTTTTAGGATAGGCTCTACAAAAAAAGGATATTGGTTCAGTAGGCCTAATCTAAATGTTGTTAAAGTTAGGTTAGGTAACTTCATTGTGCTGTACAGTACACCCACTTTTAACCAACCCTGTATGAACTGGCATAAATTAACCACCTCTATTTGAACAGAAAAAAATTAAGGTCAGTTTATTCGACCTAAATTTAAAAACTGGATGGTTTCAGTGTGAGTGCAGGTCTACTTCTGTTATGAATCACACTGGAAAGTCACAAAACGTAATTTTAATGCAGGAAACTTACAGATATTTCCAAGTTAATTTTAAAATGTGATTGCAAATCATTTTATTTTACACAGTTATTTCAATCAGTGAGAAAATTCAACTTTGTGTGTATATTACTCTACAATTAATCTACAAAGTAGGCCTATTCATGTTTCAAGATCAAAATGTTACAGTTGATATTTTTAATTATAGGATTGAGAGACATGAATTAAATACAAATTATTTTAATCGACAAGATTAGCCCACATTTTTGAAAGATGTTAGGCCTAGTTAAATACTAAACATTATTATTTAGTTCTGTTAATAATTCAATCTACTCTTTCAGGCATCAAAGTCTCTCCGAGAGATGTCGCCACTCGGATCAAGGAGAATCTCGACAATTCAGGACTGATAGAAAAAATAGAGATCGCCGGCCCAGGGTTCCTGAACGTATGGATCAGCCGAAAACACTGTCAGAGTTTACTCACGAAAATACTCACCAAAGGTGTTCTACCTCCCCCTCAACCTCGCAAACTCAAAATCGTCATTGATTTCTCGTCACCCAACATCGCCAAGGAAATGCACGTAGGCCATTTAAGGTTCGTTGGAACTTGTATGTTTTTAGTTGATTTTACTATACTTAATTAAACCTCACCTAGGAGTCTCACTGAGCCAATTACAACCTTTAATCTGTTACAGTCTACATATGAACCTAAAAGTGCTGTAGTAGAAAATGTAAATTTTCTTGAATATCAGCGGATAGCAACATTGTAGTGACGTTGTTTCTCATCTACCAGAGCTGCAGCTGCGCTTCTAGATTCTGGTGTTCACTAGCAGATTCAAAGACAACATATTTCATGGAGAGTTCTGGGTTAAATCTTTATTCAGTGATTTTTTTTACAATATTCTCATTTAGGGTTTCTATAAGTTTTCCAATTCAATAAAACTATCCAAACACCAATCATCCGGATTTGTTAATTTTTTGGCAAGGATATCATTACAAATACTGGAAATATTAAAATCAAAATTAAATTTAAACTCGAGATGGTTAACAAAGTTATTTTTTCAGGTCAACGATCATTGGGGAGAGCATAGCCAGGCTACTGGAATATCTAGGACATGATGTAGAAAGAGTAAACCATATTGGTGATTGGGGAACTCAATTTGGAATGCTAATAGCTCATCTTCAGGTATGTTTAGTCAAATTATACTTTTTCAATCATAATTAGTAAAAATTGAAATAAACGGTATTAGCCATTTGACACATGGTCAATAACCCTTAAAAGTGGTGGGAGAAACGATGATATTTTATGGAGAAATTATCTTTTGAACCATAATTTTTACACCAATGAGGGGTATAAGATTTTTTTTTTTTAAAGAGGTTGGCGGCCTCTTTTAACCTTGCATTTGCCCGTCCACATAGACTAAGCGCCCGTGCGTGGATCGTTTACAGCAAAGCAAGGAGTGAGCCGGTACAGTACAAAGGTGAACTGTACTGATAAATTTTAGTGGCAGTGACCAGGATCCGAACCAACGACATCGCTGCCTTGGGCCCGAAGTCCGCGACGCTGCCGACTGAGCCACTGACTCACAAAATAGGTTTTAAATTAAAATGACTATATTATACTATTTTTTTTTTTTTTTTACAAAATTGTTTGAAATGTTTTGTTTGATAACATCGCCTGGAACCATGGACCATGGATAAGTAAACCACAACCCACATGCAAAGTTTCATAAAATTCAGAACACAGGTGCGGTCTTAGCTCTGTACACATCCACATATCACTTGAAAAACCACTTTTTAGATTCAGGGGGACCCAAAACAGATATTTCCGACAAGAATAGTATAAAACCATACCAAGCTGAACCCGAGAAAACAATGAAACCACTCACTGGGACATTTCCTTATAAACACCTGCAGTTGAAATCTTTAATTAATGTTGTGCATCGAAAGTGCTTTGTAACCATGCAAGAAAACCATACCCTTCAATTTTTTTGATTTTGACTTTTATCAAACTCAACTTATGCAAGTTGTCGCTTTAACCTTCCTTATTATGTTTTCTAAACTGAATTTGAGCTAATATGTGACCGTATATGAAAAAAATCCTCCTAATCCAAACAGGCTTTAATCTCAATAAATTCTGATTGGCGTACTCTACTGTGGTGTTTTGAGTTGATTTCTTTTACAGGATAAGTACCCCAACTATAAGACAGAATCTCCCCCGCTCTCTACGTTGATGCACTTCTACAAAGAGGCGAAAGTTAGGTTTGACACTGACGAGGTTTTCAAAAAGCGAGCTTACGAAAGCGTCGTCAAACTGCAAGCCGGGGACCCTGAGTATACACAAGCGTGGCAACTTATTTGCGACGTTTCTCGTAAAGGTAGGCCTAAAGATTGTTTTTCCCACAATTATAGTTAGTACACAATAAGTTGTTGCTTTCTGTATACTCTTTATAGACTAGACAGTCATCATTTACAGAAAGGGACCAGTAAAACCAGCTGAAGTGTGGTAGGCTAAATCTATCCTTTAACCCTCTTATGGAACACTATTTTCAAAAAGTTGATTCGGTAGGCTACAAAGCTACACAATAAATATAGTCAGATTTGGCCAGGCATATTGAGCTTTTGCAAATAAATGTTGGAAATATGTAAGAACGTATCTTTTTGAAAAACAGTTAATCATTTTGTTTTCAAATAGTGTTTTGTATATTAAACAGTGATGTGATTGTCTGTATGATGTTTTACTTATAGTGTTCATGGTAGTGTGGTGAAAAGTATCGCACGCAACTCATCCGGTGATGTAATAACGGTACTCTCGTACCATATACACATATACATCCAGCTGCTTCCCAGCTTTGTAGCGTAGGGTACTAATGCCTTTATTTCTTTTGTCACCGTCAGTTATATGACAAAATCCAATGGATCTGACTTAAATGAGGTTAGAGTAATCCAAGCACTTCTCTTTTTTTCATTTCTGAAAGTAGGGAAAATTTAAACCTAGAAATATTGATATATAAAATAGAGTAATGTTTTCTTAATTTCAGAAAATCAGATGGTCTATGACAGGCTGGGTGTCAGGTTAACAGAGAGAGGCGAATCCTTCTACCAATCCAGGATGGAGGTTCTTGTGAAGGAACTGAAGGAAAGAGGTATGAGTTATTGTTTAAACTTTAATATTGATTTTTTCCCCCAATAAGGTAAACGCACCAGTAGCTGACAGTATAAGAAACTATACGCACTTAATAATCCGTGGTTTTGAATAAATAGGAACTAAAGAGATATTACGGATTTTATGTGATTCTAAATTTAGTGTAGTTTTCAAATTTGTCATACAAAAAGGGTTTTTTAAATATATTTTATAACATTTTTAAACTTAATTCAACCTTTGTACGTGTTCCAGTGGCTGACAGTGAAAAAAGTGCTTGTACCAGTAGCTGACAGTCAGTTGTCCCAGTAGCTGACACTGGAACTATACATGTACTAGCAGCTAAACCTAAGGGTTTTATAATTTATAAGACGAATAAAATCTAACTTAATAATTAAATTATAAAATCATGTAAAACGTTATTAAGAAAATTTATTTTACAAATTTTAAAATAAAAAATATTTACATTAAAAAAATATATATATTTTTTATTTATTTTAAAACATATATACATTTTTTAAGATAATTTGGCTGATTAATTAAAAAATTAAAATCATTTTATAAAAATGTGAGATCACATAAATTATAAATAGCATGCAAATTTCGATGGGTAAAACCAATTTAATATTGTGCAAGTAGCAAATATCCCCTGTCAGCTATTGGAACTTGTATGGTTTTTGTGTACCAAAGCCTGACATTGATATAATTTTTAATCCAAAACCCCTAACACCCCAATTTTATCATGAAATTGTCAACAAAGGTATAATTGATAAAAATAATGAGCCTAATCATTAATACTATTTAAGAAATTTAGCGAAATGACTAAAAACCAAACTTACCTTCTTAACAATTTCATTAAGGGAATCGACTAAATGTGATGTGTACAGACAGGGTCGCTTTCAAACCACCACCATTCAGCGAGTATGGGCTAAATTTCACTGATTTTTTTGTAAACAAATCAAGAATAAACATATGTTCTTCTAACAATGCAATCATGTGTAAATATTTTTAAGAGACCACATTATAATGTAAAGAAACTCAAACTGTCAGCTTCTGGAGCACTGTCAGCTACTGGTGCATTTACCTTAAATAGTGCCAATGTTTACTTCAATGCTGTGGGCCGCTCCAAGCCCCACCAATGTTTGTGGGGGGGGGGGGGGAATTTAGAAGTGGGAAATAACATTACTTTTCAGCAATAGTCAGGAATGTTCTTAGTTTTTTTGTATAACACTATTATTTTTGTCACCTATTATTTCCCCTTCCAGCATTATTTCACTTGTTCACTACGACGCTACAAAAAAATTACGATTCTCAGTAAACACTTACCTAGCGCTTGCTATTAATTAATAGGATTATATGGTCAGCTTTATTTCGCTTGTTACCATGAGGTTACAAAAATAATAAGTTTCTTATTAAACTATTACCAAGCGTTTACTATTAATTAATAAGATAACACGGTCAGCCTTATTTCACTTGTTCGACCTACCAGTTCAGATGACGTTAAAAAAAATACAATTGTCAGTACACGGTAACTTATTACCTAGGGCTTGCTATTAATTGATAGGACGACACAATCAGCGTTATTTCACTAGCGGTTCAGAAAAGATAACAAAAGTAGCAGGGTATTTTTAGTAACCTGTTTCCAATTTAATAGGTTAATATTCAGTAATAGTGTTATTTATCCTATTACGTTAAACAACGTCTACCACTAGGTGGCAGGCCATTTTCAATTACCAGCAGAGCGTTATCCAGTTAAGACTAAATAGCCTACATTGATGGGTTGGATAGGGTAGTTAGGTAAATGTAAATTAATAGTCACTTGAAAACAAAGGGGAGTTTTTTTACCTCCCATAATGTAGTGTACGGTAGTAAAAACATGTAGCGTAGGAAAAGACTATAAATGAAAATTAAAATAGTACAGTATCTTGAACAGTAGAACACTCCATGAACGTCTCATTGCATTTCTTCTTGCAAAGTCAATGATACTAACTGTATTAATTGTCAATCTCCAGGATTGTTAGAAGAGGATGACAAAAGGTTCATAATGTGGGGCAAGAACAAGGACTTGATCCCTTTCACCATCGTAAAGTCTGACGGAGGCTTCACTTACGACACTTCTGACATGGCCACCATCAGATACAGGATAGAGGAGAGTAAGGCCGACTGGATTATCTACGTTGTGGACATGGGACAGGTAATTGTAAATTTAATCCAAATTTAGTAAAACAACGATTAAAACGTTTAACCCTTCTAGGGTGACTGTGATTTCAAAACACAAGAGATGACATACTCTTGTTCTAAGGGATGTGTTTGTGGTGTAATGAAACAGTGTTAATATATACAAGAGTCATTTTTTAAGTAAGGGCCGTTTGTGTGTATAGCTTTTTGTTCGCTTGTACGCCGCAACAAGACGTTTGTGAACAGAACGGCGCCATTTGCAGCTCTGTAACTGACGTGTACACTTCGATACTAAGCAGCGAGAAGCCTTGTTGCAGCCTACAAGCATAGACAAAAAGAATTCGTCAGCCTTGCTGCGCGTACGCTGTAACTACATGGCACTCCCAGCGGTGTGCACCAGAACCTATGGTAACGCAGCATGGCTGACGGTCTATATTTAATTCTTTTTGTCTATGGTACAAGCAAACTAAGAACATATACAGTACAAATTAATAATATTTTAAGCCAAGCATTTATTGCTAGAAGACTGCAAAAAATTACAGATAACAAAACACAAGAGATGACTCAAAAAACTGAACTTCGCGAACTTGCCACTGTGATGCAGCTTTGGAAACATTGCGATTTTGACTATCTCTTTTTTTTGTCCTAGGACGCTAGGTACGAGCCTGGAATTGTTTTTCACAAAACTTCAGGCTAGACCTAGGGGTTGCGGCATTATCACTTAGATAAAATCTATTGGTGACTTGGAGGGGATCGAACCAGGGACTGAAGTCCCGCTACGCCAGCTCGCTCCCCACATATTGTCATATTGTCTCTTAGATTAATATGTATTCATTTTACAAGGGAATTTAAAAGCTGGATTCTGTATTGAAGCAAGTGTTTTCATGTGTCCAGGCTACCCATTTTGTTGTCCTCAACAGTTGTGCTGAGAAGGCTGGCTGGCTCAACCCGTCCAAGGTCCGAGTGGACTTTGTAGGCTTTGGAGTTGTGTTGGGAGAAGACAAGAAGAAGTTTAAGACACGTTCTGGCGAATCTGTGAGACTGGTCGAACTGTTGGATGAAGGTTGGTTTTGCATTATTTTATTAGCGTTTTATTTTGTTGTTAGTGTTCCATTTTATTATGAGGTGTTGCATTGCATTTTCAATGTTATAATTATATCAGTTAAAAAATATATTAAGTTGAATTTGTTATATATAAGTTAACCTTTTCCTTCCACCCTTTCACCTTCCTTTCTCTTTTTTTCCGTTTCCTTTTCCTTTTCATGAGGTCCAAAGTTTGCCTCAATAAAGAAGCATTTTCATTTCATTTCGTTAACCTTTTATGCAGTGATAAAATAGTTGTTCTTGTTTGTTAACCTTTTCATTACTGTAGGTCTGAAGAAGGCCCTGGATACACTGAAGGCCAAGGGAAGGGACCAGGTGTTGTCAGCCACTGAGCTACAAGAGGCGCAGGAGGCTGTGGCTTACGGCTGCATCAAGTATGCGGACCTAAGTCACAATAGAGTTAACGACTATGTCTTCTCTTTTGATAAGGTTAGTATACAGCCGTCAGCGGTTAGTCTAAATAACTAGCCTACAGAACCTAAGTAGTATTTAGGGATGGTCAAGTCTCGAAATTTCGGGAAATTTTAAATCTCGTTACACGAGACGAGATTTCTTTTTGGCCGAGATTTTTATCGAGACAAGAATTAAAAAAAAAAAAATTAAAAACGCCTGCAGAAAGTCAATGCAATACCCGCAATACAGGAGCGTGTTGTAGTTGCGTTTCCTTTGCGAAGGCGTTCTTATTTAATTAATTCTTCAAATGTAAATATTACTTTAATTATTTTAATAACATTTGAGAAGTTTCGTTAAGTGTTAGCAGTGTGAGGGATGTTTTATTACTATAAAAAAGTCAAAACAAGTAACTATTTTATAAAAATTAATATTTTATTTTATGATTTATTTTATTTTAGGATAAGTTGAACTCTATCCTAACTGATATCACTATGTTTCCTAATCGCAGGCATTTTTAATAATTTAGGCGTGATTAATAAAAAAATGGTATGCTGATGTTTTTTAATAAAAGATTGTAAATATTCTTGCCTATTATCATTATTTTTGTATTTAAACAGTCATCTAACAATGTTACAAAATCAGGTAAAAATTCTGAACGTGCATTTCCCGTTGTGTATGAGAAGTGAAATCCCGTCTCGATCTCGTCTCGAAATTTTATGAGGAATAAAAAATCTCGTCTCGTCTCGTCTCGAACTAAAAATCCAATCTGGTCCATCCCTAGTAGTATTGTAAAGACAGTTTAACTTATTTTGAATATACTATAGTTTGATAAATACATTATTCCTTATTGTGTCATTTGAATGCCCAAGAATATTAGATGGGGTTGGATATTTTAAAACATATACTGTTTTAAATGCTTGTAAAGTTGTGTCAATTCTACTGCCAATATTATATAGTCAGTACTGGGAAAACTGCTTGCTAACCGTGGTTCACAGTCTCTTAAATAGTTGGTCTGGAACTCACAGTCTGACAAGAAATTATTGATAAGTTGTTTTTATTGATAAGGCTCCTGGTAAAAGTCTGGTTATGTTTCAGATGTTGGAAGACAAGGGCAATACAGCTGTTTATCTGTTGTATGCTTACACCAGGATATGTTCTATAGCCAGGAATGCCAACATAACAGTGAGTGAGCTGGAGCAGGCTGCCAACACGATCCCCGTAGCCATCACTCACGAGAAAGAGTGGAAATTGGCAAAGGTATGTGATAGAATATATTAATAGGATTGTAATTGTTTATTCTTTATTCTAGTAATAAATTATGGAAGTCGTAAATAAACATCTGATAAACCTTTTTTGTGCTCGTAACCAAATACCGATCACTATCACCGCAAAGTTATTGCAAAAATGATAAACCGAAACCGACTTTACATGTCAATTCTTGGTTCTGCTGCTTTTGCTAAAAAAACTGGTAAAATCTACAATTGACAACCAACCCATCCCCAATTGTAATGTCATTGATAATATCTAGCAGTCCTATGTATTTATGCGTTCATATTAAAAACGTTTAACGCAATAGTTTTTAAAAACTTCTTTGTTTATCTGTTATCAGGTTTTACTCAGGTTCCCAGAGGTACTTACCAAGATCACGAGGGAATTGTATGTACACACACTGTGCGAGTATCTTTACGAGATCGCCTGCACGTTTACGGAATTCTACGACTGCTGTTACTGCATAGAGAAGGATACTAATACTGGTGAGTGTCGTAGATAGGAAAATACGTTAGAACATCTCCGCCGAACATATTTGTGAAACAACATGTTCTGTGAAATTGAGATTTTTGATAAACAATGTAAGAGCAAATTACATTCTTTACTGCGTGGGATATTTTGATTTTAAACATACATAGGTTGGTAGCTCTTACAAGAGATTTGATGTGCGGGAAACAGGCTGGGTTGGTATTAGCATGGTAAGAACGTTTCTGTTGGTTCTGGAAATATTCACTTTTGTCACCAGCAACGTTGTTCAGCAGAGATATTCATTTGTTGAACCGTAACGGTATGTACCTTACAGGGTGTCCCTTAAATAGGTTTAGATGTTTGATTTAATATTCTTGGCCGTTTATGTGAAGAAAATGTTTAACTATAAAATATATTAAATATATTTTGAAAATAGCTATTAAATATATTTTGAAAATATTTTGGATAAGTTTCAGCTTCCTTACAAATATAGAAACAAAATGGTGCCATATTGTAAACCGTGCACACATTGAAAATTTTACTGATTTACCGATTTGATACCTATACTGAATTTATTGAATCTTTTATTTTATTTATGTTACAGGTGAAGTCAAGAAAGTACACATGGACAGGCTGCTGCTAACGGAAGCCACTGCTCGAGTTATGAAGCAATGTTTCAATATCCTCGGCCTGAACACTGTGTCTCGCATGTAACTCTAAGTAATATATTTTTTGAAAAAAATAAAAACCTTTTTATTTTCAACTCCTCCTAATTCATGTACTTATGGCATTTTTAATGAGAAAATATTGTTTTACTATCAGATAAGAATAAGCATGCATTTTTTAAATTTTTATCGGCATCCTATTATCTCGGTATTTTTTGTGGATAGGTATAAAACTAAGTTACAAATTTTATCCATAGCAAATCCTGAAGAAGTGTGAAGTTTTTGGCTTGCTTTTTCATTAAACAATTCTCACTTAAAAACTCCTCTGATATATAATCCTTATGCCACAGCAGACCTGCACGCTGCAGGCCAAGCAAATTTCCATTAAGTCTTAAGTCTGATTGGATTTGTATTAAAATATTTTCAACATGTCATATTTATTCCCTACATTAGGTTTGCTGTTACAAGGAAGGCTATGAAGTTTTTTAATTTAATATTAGTTTGGTATGAAAAACTTTCCAAATGTTGTTAAAATATTTTTTGCATCCAAGCAAGCTAACTAAATTATTCTCTGTAGGGATAATATAGAATATAATGTAAGTTAACTGTATTTAGCATTTGAAAATCACAGTAACCAAATTCCTAAAACTATAATGTATTGGCCTACTAAATTGTTTTTAAGGTCTACATGATGACTGTAGTAGAAATTGCCATTTTTCATTTTTTAAGAGCAAATTTGAAGAACAACGATTAAACAAAAAATGAAAAACCACTTAACACCACCCCTCCCCCATCCTATCACCCCATCTCGCTAGTTTGCGAACTCATAAAAGAAAAGTGGTCTTTTGATGCAATGTAAAAGGTATTACTAATAATTTGATATAGTATAAATATATAGAGTACACTATAACAGTACAGTATTTTATTTTCCAAACTGTAAGATTACAATGATAAAATCTACAACCCAACTGTGATTCATTCTTATCAGTTGCTGACCTTTGTAATTGCAAGAGTAGATAGCTTTATTTACATCTTTTTCACAGCATGTTTCATGTTTGGATATAGTGGTTTGTGTTTTGTTTGTGAGTAGTGGGTGTTATTAAAAATAAGTTTGTGTAGTTTCAAGTCAAAAGTTGTTTTGTGAGTTGAGCTTGTTGTTAATATTGTGTTCATAAAGATTTTCCATTAAGTATTTTTTTTCAACATTTTAAATTTTAATACTTTATACGGTACTAAAATGGCGACCATACAAATGTAGGTATTACTTTAAAAAAATGTTTTGTCCCAAGACGCTAGGCACGAGCCCGGGATTATTTTTCACATTACTTCAGGCTACACCTAAGGGTTGCGTCATTATCACTTAGATAAAATCCATTGGTGACTTGACGGGATTTGAACCAGGGACTGAAGTCCCGCGCTCTAACCACTACACCAGCACGCTCCCCCATCAAGTATGGAGTAAGAAAAACTAAAATACAAATTGAACTTTAATAATAGAATAGAACTCTATATGGCAGGCTCTTTTTTAGCGCATTTCCCATTAGGGAATAGGCTATTACCGTAGGGCGGGTTACACACTAGTGTCGCAGACATCGTGTCATACGATATTTTCGTGTCCGAGGCATGTCGTACGTGAAACTGCGGTGTAGTTATAGTACTCACTAGTGCAGATGTTAATCCACAGTGCATGCCTATAAATATCCACAATTCGTAGCCTATAAGTAGCTGGATTACAGGACGACGCCACCCCCAGTCAATAGTATCTAAATGGCAAGTTTTTTCAAGGGGGTGATAAAATTATACTTTTTATTGATGTTGAACTGTTTTTAAGCCTAACGTTAACACTATACGTTAATACTATCAAAGAATTCTAAAATGTGTTTACCAAGTGATTATTGCTGTCTATTGAGTCTTATTATTTAGGAGTCGTTGTTGGTTGCTTTTGTTTCACTGTAACACTAAATTTGAATTATTTGTGTCCCAATTTTTATCCTGCATTATTAAAAAACTGTTATAACCCCAGAATTATATATTTTGTAATTTAGCGAGGGCACAATTTGTACAAGGGTAAGGAACAAGGATGCTCAAGTACTTTAGAAGACACGCAAGAAAACATCTTGGACTCTCTGGTCCATATATTCTCCAAGGCAGTGGATCGAGCATACCCAGACTTGGTGGATGTGTTTGTTCAAGTTACATCCTGCACGAATCCTCAGTTTGGAGACTATCAGTGCAATGCTGCCATGCCAATATCTCAAATGTTCAAAGGCAAAGGTACGCTAAAACTTTACAACCTTAATATTAAAGCTATATTGTTCTCTTAGTAAGTCATATGTTCCTTTAGGGATGCTAATTGTACTTTTTCGTAGGGTTCTAAACTTGTGGGGCAAAACAAATAATGTAGTACCCCTTAGTTTTTAAATACTGTTTAAGTCAGTTATTAGGTTAGTAAAGCTGCTAGCACTAAAATAAATTTGTTGATAGTAGATACATGCCATAAAAAGGTTTTTACACCGTTACAAACATCAATAAAAGTAGCTTATTCAAAATTTATTTCCATAAACTGTTTCGCCTCTTCTTTATAATCTGACAAAGAACTGAAGAATCAGCTGTTAAATTACAATTCACATTCAAAACTGTTATAAAGAAGTGGGTCAGCAGCGCAGGATATTTGTAAGTGAATTCCAGAAACAAATCGAACTAGGGGGGCGGAGCCACAAGGGAAATTAACTTTTTATTTTCTCTTAACTTTTAAGGTATCCAAATGAGAGAGTCTATGATATATTAATAGAAATTTGTGCATATTCCATATGTTTTTTAACTTTGTAAATTGTTTCACAGCTATTAGTGATTTCTTATTCAAAGGTTTATTGCGGACATTTTTTATCACGATGGTAAAAACCAATACACAACGTTTCGGGATCTGGAATCTGATCCCCTCCTCAGGTGAAAAGCTTAACTAACACATTACAACTAACAATACACAAACCCCCAACCTAAGTTGGAATACACTACAAAGAGTAGCAGTCAAAAAATATGCCCTGTATAGCAGTCAAGTCATGATACAACATGCAAATAATAACCAATCACAAAACACTATAGGTAATCTATAAAAGTTGTAGTTTGGACAGCTCACACAATGGAACACTAAACACACAGTTTGCACTGTCTTCACCAATGAGACTGTGTATATTTAAGACTGTGGCGTTTGTGTATTGTTAGTTGTAATGTGTTAGTTAAGTTTTTTTCACCTGAGGACAGGATCAGATTCCAGATCCCGAAACGTTGTGTATAGTTTTTTACCATCGTGATGGAAAATGTCCGCAATAAACCTTTGAACAACATTAACTCACCATCACCAGCAACAATGAACTTCAAACAAACTATTAATGATTTGGTCGCAGGAATTCGTATAACTCCAAGGGACATTGCCAACAACATAAAACATAACCTAGAGAACTCAGAACTGATAGAAAGAGTGGAAATTGCTGGTCCAGGGTTCATGAATGTTTTCATCGCAAGAAAATATTGTCAGAATTTGCTGAAGAATTTACTGGTGAAGGGTGTCTTGCCGCCAGCACAAAAGCGTAAACTAAAAGTCGTTGTGGATTTTTCTTCTCCTAATGTTGCCAAAGAGATGCATGTAGGACATTTAAGGTAAGTCTGAAGTGAACACAAAATAATCTTGAGTGTTGCTTAACATTTTTTAAATCTCATTATTTCACGGTCTTGATTTATCTTTAAGTACAATGTAAGGGGGATGGTTTCAATTCTTCAATTGAATTGAATACCTATGTTGTTTTTTTAATGCATTTACCATCCATGCACAAAATTTCTTATCATGGTACTAACACCTACGTGCTTAAATTTTGGGCTGGTAATTGTGTGGTCTACCACTAAATATAAATATTATCACTGTTATGAGTTGGGGACCATCACAAAAGTGCATTTTAACCCAAACATGATTTACATGTGAGATGACTTATGTAGCTTTGATACGAGCTAAGATCAGCTATTTCTGTAGTCAAGACTATATAAAAACCTAATGATCAAGAACAGCCTCCTAGATACAATCATCGAAAACTTATTGACTATGTTCAAAAAGTCTGACATGTTTGTATTGATATCAGTATCGAACTGGCCAACTTCAAATCATAATGTGAGCACAATCACCACACTGTATCACCAGCTATATCAGAGTGGTCATAATGTTCACTTTTCACCCAATTAAATTGACTTTTACTAGTTTTATTTTGTGAAAAAGTAGTTAGTAGCATTTAGATTGTTAATAATTGGACCCATAGGAATATCCTATATATAATACGAGTAAAGTTTGAATACTTGTCAACTCGATCTGGGAATCGGCTCTAACAAAAACGTTTATATTTACGGAATAACTAAGTTCTGTGTCAAAAATAAGTTCTAGACCAGTGGTATAGCCAGGAAAAATCTATTTTTGCCATAATATGAGTACAAACTTTTGAAAATTTAACATGGGCCTTATGAGAAAACATTCCGCCATTGTTGTCATTTTGTTTACATTTTAAGACATAACGTGACGTTCTGTACCCACGGGCACCTCAGCTTGCGCATGCGCAGAAGTTGTCTATCCACAGTATACTAGCATAACAAAATACAGTACAAAAGGAAAAACATCAGTTGTTACTATTAAGCAAAGATTAAACTGAACTCGATACATATAAGTGTACCGGTAGTATAAATGTTGTTAGTGATAAGAATAAATCCCATGACAAGGCAGTAGAATTAGTAAATAATTTTGTCCTTGAAAGAAAAAAAGATTTGAATAAATATCTGGTTTGGCGAACAATTGAAGGTAAAGATGTGACTAAAGTTGTTACTAGCTTAAGTTCATCATGTAGTGAAGATTACTATGGTTTATCAAATAGAGTTCTAAAGGAAATATGTCAGGTGATAGTGACACCGTTGACTTTACTGTTTAATATGATCTTGGAACAGGGTATATATCCGCAAGCACTAAAAGTAACAAAAGTGATACCAGTCTATAAAAAGGGTGAAAAGTTGAGCCCATCTAGTTACCGACCAATATCTCTGGTTCCTATAATAAGTAAAGTTTTTGAATCCTGTATTAAGGCTCAACTTGATACATTTTTTGTAACTAATAATTTGTTTTGTGAGGAACAGTATGGTTTCATGCAAGGTAAAAATACAGTAAAAGCAGTAGAGAATGTGATAGAAACAGTGTTAGAAAACTTTGAAAATAAGCTGTTATCATCTGCCTTACTCATAGATCTTACTAAAGCTTTTGATTGCATGAATCATGAGCTACTGCTAGACAAACTGTTTCACTATGGTATCAGAGGTAAAGAACTTAATTTATTTAAATCATACTTGAGTGGTAGAGAACAAATGGTGGTACAGGGCAGTGATAAGTCTGGCTTTAGAACAATATTAATGGGTGTGCCTCAGGGATCAGTCCTTGGACCTCTTTTATTTATTATTGCTGTGAACGATTTTGCTTCAAATATTCCTTGTGCCACAGTGTTATATGCAGATGATACCACACTTCTTAACAGTAAAAAACACCTAGATGATCTAATAAGAACTGAGAACCAAGCCTTAGAAATAGCAATGGAATGGTTTCATTCTAATCTTTTAATTGTTAATGAAAAAAAGACTGAACAAATTATATTTTCTTTGGACTTTTCTATTTATAAAGATGTGAAACCTGTTAAGTTGTTAGGTATTTATCTTGATAGTAGGTTAAGTTGGGAAACTCATGTCGAGCAGTTGTGTAGAAAACTGTCTAGAGTAATTCACCTTCTTAGAAAGTTGAAAGATTGTGTAACCAAAAACATGCTGATAACTGCCTATTATGCTTTTTTTCATTCTCACTTAAAGTATGGCATAACTTTATGGGGCAACTCGTGTAGTGCATTAGAGGCTTTTAAGTGGCAAAAAAGAGCTGTAAGAGTCATTACAAATGTTTCAGATAGGGAGTCATGTGTTCCTTTATTCAAAGAGCTTAAAATAATGACTCTTCCAAATTTGTACATATATTGCTGCCTGATGGATGTTAAGAATTCTATTTGTAAATTGTCTGTTAGAAAAGAAATACATGACTATCAAACGAGGAAAAACTATCTTCTTAACTTAATCTCTGTACGGTTGGAAAAAACAAGAAACAGTCATGTTTATATGAAAATTAAATTATTTAATAAACTGCCAGAAAACATGTGGAATATAACTTCAAAACAGTTTGAAAATAAGATTAAAATATGGTTAAGAGAACATATTTTTTATACTGTTGATGAGTTTTTAGCTTGTGACATTAGTACTTTAAGAATTTAAATTGGATAATTGTTTAGATTTTATATTAATTGTTTGTTATGTCATTCCCTGGTGTTTTTATATTTTGTTATTGTTTTTATCTATAAATTAATATTCTATTTTTCAATGTACCTTTTACTTAGAATAGGCTATTTACATACATTATATGCTTGTGACTTTGTCAATTGCACACATGTGTTTAAAGACAATAAAAATCTTTGACTTTGACTTTGATAGTAGTCAAGGGTAGCAGTGTGGAGTGTGGGATCTGTTTATGACGATTAGATTACGGTATCTGAAATCTTAAAATGATATGGGAAGGGAGGGAAACAGGTCCGCGACATAGGAAGTGGCGAAGGAAGTTGTCAAGGCGAGTAGTCCGGAGTGTGGGAACTGTTTATGACAATTAGATTAAGGTATCTGCAATCTTAAAATGATATGGGAAGGGAGGGAAACAGGTCCGCGACATAGGAAGTGGCGAAGGAAGTTGTGAAGGTGAGTAGTCCGGAGTGTGGGCACTGTTTTTGAAGATAAGATTAAGGTATCTGCAATCTTAAATTCTATGGGATGGGAGGGAAACAGGTCCACGACGTGAGAAGTGGTGAAGAATTTAGTAAATGCGAGTAGTCCGGAGTGTGTGAACTGTTCATGACGATTAATTTGAGATATTTGCAATCTTAAAATGCTATGGGGAGGGGGGAAACAAGTTCGCGACGTAGGAAGTGGTGAAGGAAGTAGTCCAGGCGAGTAGTCCGGAGTGTGGGAACTGCTTTTTAAGATTAGAATAAGGTATCTGCAATCTTAAAATGATATGGGGAGGGAGGTAAACAGGGCCGCGACGTAGGAAGTGGTGAAGGAAGTAGTCAAAGCGAGTAGTCTGGAGTGTGGGATCTGTTTATGACGATTAAATTAAGGTTTCTGCAATCTTAAAATGCTATGAGAAGGGAGGGAAAAAGGTCCGTGACGTAGGAAGTGGTGAAGGAAGTAGTAAAGGCGAGCAGTCCGGAGTTCGGGAACTGTTTATGACGATTGGATTAAGGTATCTGCAATCCTAAAATGCTATGGAGAGGGAGGGAAACAGGTCTGCGACGTAGGAAGTGGTGGAGGAAGTAGTAAAGGAGAGCAGTCCGGAGTGCGGGAACAGTTTATGACGATTAGATTAAGGAATCTGCAATCTTAAAATGCTATGGGAAGGGAAGGAAACAGACTCACGACGTAGGAAGTGGTGAACGAAGTAGTAAAGGCGAGCAGTGTGGAGTTTGGGAATGGATTAATGTATCTGCAATACTAAGACTGCTTTAATATTAAACTAATGATTTTACCTGAGCAAAGCTCGGTCCCCAGGTACTGGTAAATAAATCTAATCAAGAATCAGCTGATCTTAGGCAGTAACAAAGTGATCATATGATTCATTCAACACTCGATCTTCCCCGCTCAGCTAGTAGAGTAGTAAGTACTGCTCCCGAGAAGTAAGTACACAGGAAACACTGAATGGTATACTTAAGTGGTGTCTAGCACTAGTTGCTACACCACCCCCTCGCCCTCATGTACAGGGTGCGGGTGCCTCACGGTGGAGGAATACCCTAGGCCCTGTATGATAGGAATTTCCATATAGTGCTCGCCGTTCGTGCTATTCCTTCCGTCCCACAAGCCTGTTTCCCCTACTTTACTTCTCTGTGGTTGCAGTGAAATATATTCAAACAACATTAGTGAAGTTTCTTCTTACAAATTTTAAAGTGAGTTCTAAATGTTCTCCAACCCTGATTTTCTTCAAATATTTTATTTCATTAATCATTTTATGTTTATCATAAAGTTTTTTTTTCAGGTCAACTATTATTGGAGACAGTATTGCTAGGCTACTGGAGTACCTAGGACATGATGTAGAAAGAGTTAACCACGTCGGGGACTGGGGAACACAATTCGGAATGCTTATAGCTCACCTTCAGGTGTGATGCATCCTCCACAGTGAAGTATGGTTCATAAAATAGTATATTTCCTCACTAGGGCGTAAAGTCACTCTTTTCAACCCAAGCTCAAGTTTCAGGGAGGGTTGAAGAGACACTTTTTGGCTTTTTGCCCATATGATGAACTTTATTTTTTGTTATATTGAACCATAATTTACACAAACTAAACTGCAAAATGTTACTTTTCATGTAAAGATAACCTCAAAACGACTTCCAATTTGTTTTCAATTTTGGTAACACAATTAAGTAGCTGTTAGTGATTCAATCATTTTGTCTATTATGATTGAGTTAATGTAGATTATACTATCGATATGTCAAACTATTGACAAGGATGCAACAATAAGCTACAACCGATTAAACCAACCAATACATACTATCGTTTCATGCTATTGTTTATAACCGAAGTTTAGAACTGATCATCTGATATTTACTCCCTAGGGAGAAAACGAGCTCCTTATTTTCTAGAGCATAAATAAACAAATAATTTAGTATATGGAAGAATTGTCTTATGTCTAATGGTTACAAAGAGAAAAAAACTATAAATAAAAAATTCTCATGTTATCCATATGAAGAATTAGTAAACTGTTTTAGTTTGTTTCTTTATGAACATATTTTGATCAAATTCTTTCTTTTATACTTTTTTTTTTTTTTTTTTTTAAGAGGTTGGCGGCCTCTTTTAACCTTGCATTTGCCCGTCCACATAGACTAAGCGCCCGTGCGTGGATCGTTTACAGCAAAGCAAGGAGTGAGCCGGTACAGTACAAAGTTGAACTGTACTGATAAAATGTTATCGGCAGTGAACAGGATCCGAACCCACGACATCGCTGCCTTGGGCCCGAAGTCCGTGACGCTACCGACTGAGCCACCGACTCACTAACTACTGAACTACAAATACTGAACTAGTAGCTTAACATTTCACACAAAAAACACTTCACTGCCCTCTCTGTAGCATTGAACCTAATAAATTAATAAACCTAATTTCATTATGAAAGGAAATAAATCTGATCTTTTTAAGGAAATATTTCATTGAAAATCCAAATGGGTAAACGGAAATTACCCTGGTCTGTATGTTTGCTGCGGTGAAAGTATTTATTGTTTGTCCATCAGCTTTGTCAAGAAGAATTTCTACTGATTACTAAATCAAGTGAGATAACTAAATCATATGTTATTTATCCAATAGAGCCAGCCAAACTTAAAGACCGAATCCACTACTCTTTCCTCGCTTATGGAGCTGTACAAGAAAGCCAAACAGAGATACGACTCTGAGGAAGAATTAAGGAATCAATCTCACAAGTGTGTAGTCCGACTACAGATGGGGGATCCGGAATACACTAAAATATGGAAACTTATCTGTAACTTGTCTCGTAAAGGTGAGAAAATGGATTGTAAAAGAAAAGTACTCTAGGATATCCAAAGTCAATTAATAAATATTAAAATCTAATGAAATTAAAAGTTTAACCTTGAAGCTGGGTTTTTCTAGGCGCGGAAGCGGAGCGTGGAATGTGGAGCGTGGAATGTGGAGAGCGGAGTTTGGAGAAGTGGTTTCAATGGCAGTCCGCTCTTCTTCTAGGAAAAAAGTACCAAGATAAGAGGAGAGCGGCCTCTGCACTTCGCTTCCGTGCTTAGGAAAACACAGCTGTTGAGATGTATAAGATTGATAAAATAAAATGATTACCTTATCCAACCACAGTTGTTGGTATGAAAACTAGTTTTTTTCCCTTAGAACTTCATCAGGTAAATTTGTTTGCAACCACATCATCAATGTATCCAATACATTGTGGCATGTCAATAGATTCTTTAAAAAACTGTCACAATCACAATTATTAAAACTTATGTCATGTTAATAAAATATTTAAAATGGAATAAAAATTGATAAAACTGCACCAGCACTGTCTTATCACTGCCACTGACTAAATAAAACTGACTGAATCATGATGTTTCTTCTTTTCTCCAGTGCTACCTGTATTTAAGTTTGTTTTGTTCTTCTTATTTTATACTTATGATTTGTAACTTGTCAATGTATGTATCAAATATAATATTTGTCTGGAAAGAACTCTTATTTATGGAAATATTTTAGTGAAAATGTATCAGACAGGTTGAAATTCACTTAGTCTGCAGGTTTGCTGTGGCGGGGATTTTTTTTACATAAGGAATCAACTATATACTTTTTCTTCAGAGTAACTGAACAGCTGAGTGGCAACAATGATCACCATTTAGAAGTTTGCTGGTTTGTGAAGAGTCAGTTAGTAGTTCTTTGATGGTTCGAAACTGCTGCCTTTGATTTTTGGACTCATATTAAATAGTCCTGAATAAGCCAGTGGTGGATCTAGAGGGGGGGGGGCGACCCCCCCCTCGGGCATACATATACATATATTTTTTACTGCATGTAATACAGTAGTGCATAGAAATTGCGTAGAATAATTTGTTACAATAACTTTGGACAAAGAAATGGTATAAAACTGCCATTTTGGAGACTTAGTTTACACAAATTTTTTGGAGGAGTTCCCCCGAACCCCCCCAGACCCCCTGGTTCGCCCCCCCCCCTTGTGACTGTTCTAGATCCGCCACTGGAATAAGCAAACAGCTAATTTAGTCAGAATCAAAACACAAAATTATCTCACTTTTCTTCCTGACATGTTTGGGTCAAAATACTTCTTAGATGTTTTGATCTTAAAATTACGACCTATATTGTGGCTCAATAGATTATTAATTAAAAAGTCTAATTGATATGTAGGATATTCAAACCCTTATTTTTGAATCAATCAGTTAAGACTGTGCGGAATCACTGGAATTTTTCCGAATAATTAGTTTTAGGATATCTTTTAAAATATTTATTTTTGCACATGTCTAACCAAGGATTAAGTTTAGTTTCTTTACTTACAGAAAACCAACTCATCTACGATAGATTAGGAATCAAAATAACTGAACGTGGGGAATCGTTTTATCAATCACGGATGGAAAACATTGTTGAGGAGTTAAAGAGTAAAGGTGAGAATTATTTTTTATTATTAAAACGTCAAACATATTTTAAAGCCTTTAGTATGGGCCATTGTGAAAAAACTCTATGTAAATCTTTGCTTACTTCTAGTTAAGGGAAGCAGAATAGTTAAAAGCCTGACACGTGCTGTAACATCCTTACAAGAAACGTACAAAATTCCAATGGCAGAGAAAAACGCAAATATTTTTGAGTAAAACTTAGAATTACTTTGCGAAGGCTTTGGGTTTACTATTGTAAGTGAGGTGGCCCAATATAATGCTCCTGCGATCGTAGACGTTGTTTCTCTAACCAGGATATATAACCATAAAGGTTTTGAATCTCAGTCTAGTGTGCAATTAATCAGGAGTTTGACAGGATGTTAGCTTAAGAGCTAATTTAAAATTTGATTTCTTTTCAATTTCCTCTCTGAAGAAGCCCTACACTGTAGTCCGTTCACAAAATTTAAGCGGTTTGAAGAGAAGTTCGTACACCACTGTTCTTGCTTTTCAGCTGTTGAGTTGTTTCAAATGTAGGTTGAAGTGGAAGTTGACTGGGACGGGTGGCGTCGTCCTGTAATCCAGCTACTAGGAGGTCACGAATTGTGGATATTTATAGGGATGCACTGTGGATGCAATGCTCCCTGGTGTGGATTAACGTCCGCACTAGTGAGTACTACGACTATCCGCAGTACTATCCTGATAATTAGACCAATTCGTAAATTACAAGGAAAAATGTGGTTCGGATTCCACTATAAACTGTAGGTCCCTTAGTTGCCATTAGCTGTATGGGCTATTAATTAACAGCTGTGTCTAAGGAATATGTCGGCCTTAGTCACTAACAAGACTACAAGATCGCGCCACTCATCCTACACTCATCCTTCACTCATATTTGGGTTAAAATACGCACATAGTGGCGTCCCCATCTCAAATAATTGATAATTGATAATTGATAATTGCTATACATTTCTCCCCCTAAAACCTTCTAGAATTTGTGAACAGAGTTTAGATGAAATATCAGTAGTAGGTTGGAAATTTGAAATTTTACTGTGTCCTATCTTTAAGCCCCTAGATTTTAATTTTCTCTGGTAAGATGTCTAAACTATATCCCTGGCTTGGCTTCAATAATGTATTCTTTTTCTTCTAACCCTTCAATAATTGAAAAACCCTCCAGATCAGAAAAAAATCCTAAACAGATAATTGTTGACACTATCCATGTGCAGTATGTTGCCTACAATATAAAAGAAGGATTTTTATTGGATTTGAATAAAATTCCGCAAATGTGACTCCAGGATTGTTGGAGGAGGATGACAAAAGGTTCATAATGTGGGGCAAGAACAAGGACTTGATCCCTTTCACCATCGTAAAGTCTGACGGAGGCTTCACTTACGACACTTCTGACATGGCCACCATCAGATACAGGATAGAGGAGAGTAAGGCCGACTGGATCATCTACGTTGTGGACATGGGACAGGTATTATATTTATGTCACCTATGTATACGTACTTATACATTTGTAAGTGTTTTTAGAATGTTGTGATTTTAGTTGACACATTATAACAACTTCATCATAACTGGTGATTCTGATTATTGTATGATCACAGGCTACACATTTCCAAGTGTTGACCAGTTGTGCTGAGAAAGCCGGCTGGCTTGACCCGTCCAAGGTCCGAGTGGACTTTGTAGGCTTTGGAGTTGTGTTGGGAGAAGATAAGAAGAAGTTCAAAACACGTTCTGGCGAATCGGTGAGGCTGGTTGAACTTCTGGATGAAGGTGAATCCAATCAACTATATTTCATTGGATTTTTCCTAAGTTTGATTTAGAACACAGAGCTATTGATTGATATCTTTGTAAGATATTTTGGCAAGCTATATATAAAAAATTATGATATATATTTATATGATCTAGATGGTGGGCTTCCACGATAACAGCAGATTGTCAAATAAGTCTTCGGGGAGCTGTGTTGTTATGAGATTAGATGACAACGTTTTGGATGCCTAACAGCTATCCATCTTCGGGGACAAACTACTATTCCACTGAAATGTCAGCCTCTAGTCTTACTCATTTAATGACACAGTCAACACTTGAAGACCTATATTGGCAAGAATAATTTCTCCATCAGTTGGCGAGCATTTTGTAGTGTTGGATGCCGGGACTTAATTTTTTTCAAGTAGTAGGATAAGCAAATGGATAAGTTGAAAACAGTTACAATAAAGTTGGCGTATATTCTCACTTCCTATTTTTAAGGTAAAACTCTTGAGGTTGAGCTGATTTTATATAGCTTAACACCAATATCCAGGGCAGAGGAGTACCACTCATAACCTGGTTAATCTGCACTTTTCCGATTAGTTTAAATTGAGAATTGGGACAAACCCATCAAGGTACATGTTTTAAGGGAACGAAGATTTAACAATGTGTGATAAATGTCCCTTATTCTGAATATTTGTACTATTAAGTTAGATATAACCAAATTTTTTTAAGTAATGTACAAGACGATTGTGATGAAGGAAGGATTCTATTGGACATGCCTACTCTCCTCGTCAAAATGAGTTAATGAGTTGGGCTAGTAGCTAACATTTCCACAAGTAGTAAATCCACCGTCAACTTAATTGACCTGCAAATTTACAAAGTTACCACAACCTTTGTCTACAGGTCTAAAGAAGGCCCTAGAGACTCTGAAGATTAAAGGAAGGGATCAGGTGTTGTCAGCCACTGAGCTACAAGAGGCACAGGAGGCTGTGGCTTACGGCTGCATCAAATATGCCGACCTCAGTCAGAACAGGATCAACGACTACGTCTTCTCTTTTGATAAGGTTTAGCTCATTTTCTAACTGGTTGAACACTGAAATAGATAGAGATTTTCCCATAAAATAATAGAAAAAATGTTTTCCTCAAAACCCGGAGGAAATTGTACTGCACTAACAAATAATCTTACTAATATTATAAATGTGAAAGTTTGTGTGTTTGTTTGTTTGTGTGTTTGAAGTTCAATCACGCATAAACCACTGGACGGATTGGGCTGAAATTTGGCATGATGATAGCTTACATTCCCGATTAACATATAGGCATATTTTTATCTCAAAAATCCTTTCGGGCTCCGTCCCAGTGGCTCTGTAATTCCCCATGTTAACCTTATGACTATTCATATTTAAGGGGAAGAATTTAGTCAGCTGTTTCAACTAAAAAAGTTGGTTCTATGATATGGAAAAGCATTATTAAAAAGTTATAAGATTTACCAACAGGGTGCAGCACTATATTTTTGTGCATTTATGAAAACAGCTAATTTGAACTAAGCAGCAACAAAAAACTGTGATTCGCAATGAGAACTGTCAAAATAGGATTGTTTACAGTTATGTTTATGTTTTTCATTTCATGAATAATTTGTGATATTTTGCAAATTGTTGATAATTTATTTTTCTCTATTGTTTAGGTAAAGTGGTAGAACATTATGGCTGTGGTAGATGTGTAATACTATAGAATACTGTAAATTTAAAAAATCTAATTTTATCAAACTGTGTCCTCCCTTATTGCAAACGCAAAGCTTGAGTATAACTGCAATAAGCATTTTATACTTATATGCCAACCCCGTACGAAGGACGGGTACTCTGCTAGTACGCTAATATAATTGGTAGGTTAATTGTTTTGATAAAAAATGTATTTGATTCTAAAATATTACAGATGTTGGAAGACAAGGGCAACACAGCTGTTTACCTGTTGTATGCTTACACAAGGATATGTTCTATAGCCAGGAATGCCAACATAACAGTGAGTGAGCTGGAGCAGGCTGCCAACACGACCCCCGTAGCCATCACTCACGAGAAAGAGTGGAAATTGGCAAAGGTACTTCCTATTTTGATTCACAGATATTTGTAAAAATCTATTTCTTCGTATAAATCACTGACAAATTTATCTAAATTTTGTTACATCTTGAAAAATCTTTATTACATTTGAAATATGTTTACATGTATCACGATATAAATGCAAAATGATTTTTATAATTGTTCGGACAATTGAGACTCTACAATTGGGAGGGGAGACTAAAATCGGACAATTTGGGTTGTGGGGGGGCAGGAGGGTAGTTTGTTGTTAATATACGTATAAAAGATAAGAAACTATTTTTTAAATATGAAATATTTTTTTGTTCCAGCTACTTCTCCGGTTTCCTGAAATAATAAACAAAGTAACCAGGGATTGGTTTTTGAATTCTCTCTGTGACTATTTGTACGAGATTTCTTGGACTTTTTCAGAATTCTATACTTCTTGTTACTGCCTTGACATGGATGTTGAGACTGGTGGGTTGGTAACTAAAATAACACCATCAACACGAAATACCCCCGCCGCAGCAAACCTGCAGATTAAGCAAATTTCCATTTACCCGGCTGGATTTCTACTAAAATATTTCCTAAAAATTGTCAGATTTATTTCCTATATTTAAATAACATTAATTTTAGTGAGTGCTTAGGTTTGCTGCTACAGGGAAGATATTGAGGTGTGATTTTTTTAAAATGTTGATACCTTAGTATGAAATAAACAAAATTTCCAAATTTGATTAACATTTAAAATATATCTATATAATTAATACGCTACATGAAACTTTGTCGGTTGAACTCCTCCGTCATTTCTTAACCGATTTTATCCATTGACATCTCATTGGAAAGAGCGTGTCGCGTAGATTTGCAAACTGGCTTTACATTTTTTTTTAAGTCCCTTGGGCTCTGCCCCAGTGGCTTTGAAAGTTCCCATGTTATCCTTATGGAGAAATTAATTGTTTACATTTTGATCAGCTGTATAATTTAATTGCTGTTGTTTATTTTTTAATCCAATGAAACGCATTGAGTACATTTATTTACTATTTGAGTTTTTGTAAACATAACCCCCAAGACGGATCGTGTTAGTATAGTTGTATCTTAAATTTATGTATTTATCGTTGTTTTGTGTTGCTATGACGGATCGTGTTAGCATGATTGTAACTTAAATTTGTGAATTCATCGTTGTATTGTGTAGCTATAATTTGTTTATTTGTTGTTTTTTTTCTTTTAAATTACTCCGACGCGACGACAACAAAACATAGACAAGAGGCGTAATCGTGATAACGACCGCAGCTACAGAACAGTGGCGCGTAATAGGCTTAACTCATCACATCAGTCAGCACCTGACCCTGGACAATCTCAACTATTAGGTTACAAATGCGCCCTAACACTACCCCAAAACGACTTTTCCTTCTCTATTGGCCCTCTATTAATGGCATGTGTTGCGCATTTTGAGAAGGAGAAAACCAGCCGGAATGCTTTAGGTTTATCAATAACGAAGATAAACATGGTCTGAGTTACACACCGGTAATCTTTGAGTTGACTCTTTTAAACTCATTGTAAATATGACTGTAATTCGTTTTTAAATAACTCCTGTAATACTTTGCAATTGCTCGAATTCGAGCAACATGTACACTAGTATCTATAAACAAGCAAACTACAACAGTTTATTTATTCTCCGTAAGAATAACATGTGAGTTTAAAATTTACAATATTTTTTTCTATCTCCGTGACCGTTGGGCATAGAACACCGCTTCAATAAACAAAATTATTTATTTTTTTAAGCTCTAAAAATGGTTTGAAGAGAAATAATTACGAAATTTTGTGTTTTTAGGGTCAAAAATAATTTTTTACCCCATAAAACCCCCCATAAACTTCCGTTCCCATAGTCCAATTATGCTGGTACGCTAATTCGTTTGAATAAACATAGGTTTTCACATTTGTACCAAATTTCATCAAAATCGGATCATTTTTGCTCGAGTTAGTGTGCTAACGGACACGGACACACATGTATATGAATTTGAACGGATGGTGTTTCTGGCTTCTAGGGACATCAAAATGAAAAAGTAAATCAGTCCTGGGTCCAAGTCTTACCATGAGACCTACGGTAATAGCTTATTCCCTATATGGGAAATTGGCTTATTCCTATATGGGAGCAGTTGATCGCTCAGGTACAAGCTAGAAGACCTGTAGCCCCTTCTTAAAGAGTGTTTCTGCTAGAGATAGACGGGTCTCCAATTTTTGAGAAATGTACGAGATTGACTTTGCTCCAAGACTTTTTTGAGACGAGATTATAAAAAAAATATTTGAAATTACGATTGCCACATTATTAAATACACTATAACCTTGTTTATCCGTTATTCATCCATCAACAAAGGTTCTGCTTTTTAAATTAAATAAAAACTATACCTAAAGCATAAATTATTTACCGGTAGATACCTAAAGAATTGATTAAATAAGAACGCCTTCACAAATGAAACACAACAAAAACGCTCTCCCGTATCGTGGGTGTTGCAGAGACTTTCTGCAGGCATTTTTTAACTGTGTACATCTCATAAATCTGTAAAATTAGTTTATCCGTTATGACACTGGTCCTGTCTGTACCGGATAAACAAGATTTTACTGTAAATTATATAATTATCACTGGGATCAGAAGTTACACCTACAAGCTACTACAATTCTTTTTCTATTATAGACCCTTTTTGTTGTGATATAGTTACAGTAGAATCCCCCTTATCCGAACACCTCGGGACCGAGGCCAGTCAGAATAACGGGTTTTCCAGTTAAACATGACGTCCTCAAAAACTCGTTAAAACAGACCGTTTAAATTAATACTGTATACAGTATTTGACTTAAATTTAGGTGAGCATTGTATTTAGACACGTGACCACTGGTCTTGAATCTTTCCCACGAGAACAGTCGTTTCAGTACCGCCAACTTCCTGCCGATCTAGTCCGGTTAAACCGATGTGCTGATAAAAATTGTCTGGTTAAAGAGATGTCATTTTCGCCGAATGTAGTCCGGTTAAAAGGTGTCCGTATAAGAGGGAGTCTACTGTAGTTGTGGTGTGCACGTTACAGTTTTACATTAAAAATGTCTTATTTTCATTTTATTTTTTCTTATTTAATTTTTTCAAAACTACCAATTTGAGTTCCTGTAAGCTCTTGTTATATTGTACACTTTTTTGTATGAACCTTTGTAATAAATAATTACTCATTGAACTTTAGTAGTTGTTTTAATAGTACTTTATTTTTATTTATTAACCATTGTAAAAACTGTGAAAACAAATAATATTACTCTTATCATCTTGAATTATGATGAGAAAAAAGAATTTTGTCTCGTCCTTCCTTTTTCTGTCAGTCAGCATTCATAAAGTTTGAAGTTTATTGTTAGACTTAATAAATAATGCCTTTTTTCCTCAGGTGAAATCAAGAAAGTACACATGGACAGACTGCTGTTAACAGAAGCCACTGCTCGAGTTATGAAACAATGTTTCAACATACTTGGTCTCAACACCGTGTCTCGCATGTAACTCTCAATAAATAAACTTAAATACACTCATAAATTTACTCAAAATATTTTAAAATTTTCTACTACCTTCTTCTTACAATGTTTTTTAATAAGGAAAATATCCCTGCTGCAGAAAACCTGCAAACTTAGCAAATTTTCATTTACCTGATTGGATTTTCACTAAAACATTTCCTTATTGTCTGATCTGTCCAGTATAATTATGTATAGTTGGTTTTTTTTTATGTTTACAATTTTTTTCTTATTGCTTCGCCATCTTAATAAATTTATATCCATGCTAAAACTGCCTCTTTCTACTATCTTTAACAAACTGATTATTAAATTATTTGTGTTTTTATCATGATGAGAAGTTTGTTTAAAGCTTGGACTATTGATACAACTAGACATTCCGTCCCCAAATTGAAGCTGTTGCCAGTTTTATAATCAAAATCATCAAGGTTGATGTGAGCCACCCACTGTGCTGATTTAAATAACTAATTTCTGTCAAATAAACAAACTTTTTTTAACAAGTAAACTGATGGAATGACTTATTCTGAGCTATAGCAAGTGTTATGTTATTTAACGGCAAATAAATCTTTGAATCTTTATGATCCATCAGCTAGATCAGCAACGTAAATAAGGTTGAAATTATAATTTTAGACATTAGCGCATTCTGTGACTGACTCATACAACTAACTGTGTTCTTTGTGTGGATTAACGTCCGCACTAGTGAGTACTACGACTATCCGGAGTACTATTCTGATAATTAGACCAATTTGTTAATACCACGGCAAAAATGTGGTTCGGATTCCACTATAAACTGTAGGCCCCTTAGTTGCCATTGGCTGTATGGGCTATTAATCAAAAGCTGTGTCTAAGGAACATATCGGCCTTAGACACAAACAAGACTACAAGATCGCGCCACTCATCCTCTACTCATATTTGGGTTGAAATACGCACATCGTTGCATCCCCATCTTAAATAATTGATTGTTAATACAAAATTGGCGGCAGCTGGTCCCTAGGTGGGATGTCTACTTTAGAATCCAATAGTCAATTGTTAAAGCTATGGATAAATAATTTTCCTGGAAATTAGTCTATTTACTAAATCCATTCTAAAACCTTCCCATAAATTTCAAACAATTCTAATTATGATTCAAGACAAGCAAACCATAAGTCAGCAATAAGATTTCTCTTGTAGATTCATTTTACCCTATATCATCATACTACAAGGATATAGGAGCTGTGAGTGAAATGTTATCCTTTCCTGGCCGACATAACCAGACCTACAAATCACACCTGCTCTACTTTTTATATCAGCTGATTTCATTGCACTTATCTGTTTTTGTTTCCTCCTTTCATGTTTACTAGTTTTTACAATCACTGCTATGGAAGACATTCCATATTTTTCCCTCCAAATATGGATTAGTTGTTTCAGTCATACAGGTTGTCTGCTGTAGTGTCAATGGTTGATTTATGGTGGGAAAATTGCTTCATTCAAGCCAGTATGTTGTTGCGATCGAATTGGGTAAATTAGAACAATTGTACTGCGCTTAATCGATTCTTTTTGTTTTTTATATATGACAAATACACCGCTAGGTTTCAGCATTATTAGGCATAAAAGCATAGATTAAACATACTCTTATAGATTTGTAATCCTTCTAGATCGGCTAACACACTTTTATACACCCAATTTAGAAAATATTGCACCGATAAAAACCTGGGAGTCGAATTATAGCTAATTTTTATGACTATGAAAATAGTTACTTCCCTACCCAAAAATTGGCTTGAAGTGAAAACTGTTTGATTTTTTTAAATACCCCCCCCCCCACAGCAAACCTGCAGACTAAGCGAATATGTTGTTTGGAACAAAATTCCAAAATGTTTTGATGATCAAAATTGGGAAGAACAAATTGTAACCCCATAAAACCCCCCAAACCCCCGTTCCCATAGTCGATCAAACTCGTTTGAATAAACGTAGGTTGACGAATTTGTATAAAATATGATCATAATAAAATGATTTTTGTTTGAGTTATTATAATGAGTTATTATATTAAGGAATGAGGTTTTTAGTTTCTGGGAACATCAAAATGAAAAAGTAAATCCGTCCAGGGTCCAGGTCATGCCAAGTCACCTATGATAAAAGTTATTTCCCTAACATGCCGGCTTATTTCCTGTTTGGAAAATTTGCTTCAACCCTTCATTAAACGTATCCACTTTCCCAAAGTTTACCAAGTGCAAGTGGTCTTGACAATCATAGAGTAGAAGAGTAAGTGTAAGTGGTTCTAACAAGCCAGTTTTGCTTGTCAGGACAAGTTTACCAGAATGGAACCTGTTCTAGCTTGCAGAGCGGTTCCAGAATGGGACTTGACACAGACTGCCAATAACACACCTCACGTGTACTTTCCCTGTCAGAAACCAGTCCGAAGTCTGGTGCCGTTCCAATCTGTATTTCCTTGTCCGAGCCAAATATTATTTTGGCGACACAGTGACTTAAACTAGTACCAGTATTCCGGTATCGTGTATTTTATTGTTTGCGATATCCTAGATACTTTCGGCTTTCGCAGGAGATTGTTAGTGTTCATGAGGTAAATACGCACAGTAGACACTCCTGTTTAAAAAATTTGTAGCTAGAGTGATTATAGTGTTTGTCTTAGAAATACCCTTCAAGCACACTAATTAATTTTAAAAGATCTTTTTTAATTCAATATCAATAGCAGCCACTGTTTGAGGTGTAAGGCTAGACTTTGATACAAGATTGATGGTTCGAATCTTGTGTCTTAAATCAGTTTGGTTGCACCTTGAAAGTGTTTTCTTTTGATTGTGGCGGAACTTAAGAGAGAGGCAAAAGGAAAGGCTGGGTGATTATGTTGAAACTGGGTCTGTTCTACCAAAAAACTTTCTATAATAAAAATATGAATTTTATTCAAAATTTAAAAAAAATACCATTTAAATCCATGAATAATCGTGTTAAAAGGTTCAAGGAGGTATAAATTAATTTGATTTTCAATCAGTCTATGAATGGACTAAAATATTTTTATATGGAAATTCCATTAGGAATGTTGATAAATAAAATACACAATCGTGGAATGTTCGGTTAGAAGATTCAATCACTTGATTTTAAAGGTTAATGAACCAAAGCAACCGGTTTCCTGAGAAGGCGTCTGAGTGTGCTAAGACGCTATTATAAAGCGATATCAGTTGCAACGCCAGTTTTTGCACGGAAACTGGTTTAAAAGTAGGTTTTTGTAGCAAGAAATAGATTGATCTGCTATAGTCTACTAGTTTTACGTTGACAGCATGGTGGATTATTTTACGTCGATAGGTGAAAAAACAGGGGTTGTAAAAAATGTTGAAACTTCCGAAACCCTAGAAAATTAGTTATAAATATTCATGGATACTGTAAATATATTGTAGAGTTTAGTAGTTGAGCAATCAAGAAAAGTTCAATCCTTGACAAAAGGCAGAAGTTTCTTTTTTTATGGTTTGAAACTGGAATCAGCTGTTCTTGATCATCAGCTTTCAATAAATAATCCTCACAAACAAACCAGCTGATCCGGGGTTCTTAAAACAAATTTCTGCAGATAATAGTGTCAAAAGGCACTTTCAAATCTGAAGGTGACTGGTCTGATCCTGAGGAACAACAATTATTGTGGATTCAATCGCCATTTGTTATTGGACCATTGATTTTGATTAACAGTGTTTTTTTGTGTTTTGTTGTTTATTACAGTGTGACTTAAGAGACCACAATGTTTTGGAAGACCCCCTTACAATATATAAAAATTGACATTGAAATGCACATTATGAAATACTTACATCTAACTAAGCTTCAAACACTTAACGGGATTTAAGAAATTATTATCAGTATAAAATCTTAATATTATTTTGCGTAACATTAAAAGCCCAAATTAATCTAAGATTTATTAGTGAATTTGTTTGTGTGTATGTGTATGAATTTATTTGTTACAAATTGAAATCAAACGCATTTCCTTGTATACTTACTTTATTATGAATATTATAATGGAACACATAATTATTTCAGATATACACTCCTTTGTGATAAAATCTTAAGATAAAAAAATTGCATTTGTGTGCTTGAAAAAAACTGTAATCAAAGTAAATTTTTTAAGATATTTTTAAATTTTTACATGAACTTTTGCCACTCTTTTGCGTCTATATAGACATTTTTGTGAAGAAGGAAACTAAAGCATTTTCCTCAGTTAGTTATGAATCAAGAGAATAATAATAACTATTTACATTATCTACCATACAATTATATATACAACAGATTAGCAAGCCATAAATGATAAGGTACAATAATTCAGAAACAGGGTGATTTTTAAAGACTAGTTTTACTAACTAGGACACTCAAGATATTAGAAACTACAAATTTAATTGGCTCCAAATTTTGGATACAACAGTTTTTATAATGGGGCGCATAAATTAACCTTTTTATAACCTTTTTTCACAGAAAGATAACAGTCAACTTTCCAAATAAGAGCGAGTCAATCCGTTTGAGAGAACTTGTGAAACCGGTGCGCATTTTTGAAAATTTGGGGTAATTAGGGCAGTGGGAAAGGTTGAAAGAATATTTCGAACATTTCCTTGTCCGATCTTCATGTTAGTACTTAATTTAGAAATTCGCAGTATTTCAGTAATTGCCTAATCAATCACCCAGTAAAGGTTGGAATTCATGTACACTTTTAGGTTATGTGGACTTTTTCATTCAAATGTAAAAATGCCTATCCTTATGTTTTAATTCTATTACATATCTATTGAAATGGCCCTTTTTGCACTGATTATACCCAAGTGCTTATTCCTTCGCTCTTGCCGCTTTTTTCGTTCCAATCAAAAACAAATAATGCACGTAAACAACAGTCAGGCGTGTCGTCTGCATGAAAAAGTTGGAAACACTGCCTGAAAATGGACCAGCTGTTGGGCTAACCATTGTTGTTGGACGATTTTATTGTTTTTAATACGTTGAAAGCTTATATTTTTTCTTCGCAGCCTATAAGATTCGGAATTG